ACGATGTGATCAAACGACCTTGAGTCAACCAAAACCGCGCACTTAGAACGCTTTGCCTTTTAACAACTACCACTGCCATATCTACAGGTCTCAGTAACTAGGAGAATTTTCGTTTGATGGCATCTTCTTTCAGGGCTGTAAGTGTGTACTTCAATGTGGGTACTTGGATTATTTCACCCTTGTCGTACACCCCTGACTTGGTTGTATCAAGACTACGGTATTTATTAAAGTTCGAAATCGAATCCACAAGTCCACAAGCCTGTGGCTCGTGGGGGTGTTTTAAGGATGAAAATAGCTCGGAAAGAAAATCAAGACTAAAAAAGCGAGTAATATCGCGCGCTGGATACCCAAAACACAAAAAGTACCTCACGCTTTTTCACTTGGGTTTTTCCTTTTTTTCTTCTTTTTTTTTTCTAAATTAACAGCCACCACGGATCACTTATTGTTGTGGTGAACGAATGGTAACACAACATAAGAGAGTCCACAATCGTCAGAAGGCAACTGTGGCTTATATATTCCTCGTGACCATGTCGATCTTTCGGATTTCCCCATGTGGCGTGACTAACTTCGCCCTCAACCATCCCGTCGGCCTGAAGTGCATCGTCTAACTCATTTGTTTGAGACGAAAATCAAGCACGCAATGCTGCCGGTCATTCTTGCCGTTGTAGGCATTCTCTCCTACTTATACTTTCAGAAGCGAGCCCGCCAAAGTCTCCCGCCTGGCCCCAACCCGCTTCCTATCGTGGGAAATATCCGAGATCTACCACCGAGCGGGGCTCCCGAGTATCAGCATTGGCTCAAGTTCAAAGACACCTATGGTCCCATCAGCTGCATTACTATCCTTGGGCAGCTGATTGTCGTGATCCACGACCGCGATGCGGTACATAACCTATTGTCGAAGTCTTCCATGAAGACCTCTGGGCGACCGTACATGCGCTTCGCAGACTTGTGCGGTTTCGCCTCACTCTTGAACCTTGAACAATATAACACAACCTATCGCCAGCATCGTAAATTAGTACACCAACAATTCGGCACCAAGGCGGTGGCAGCCCGGTTTCGAGACACCGTAGACATTGAATCGCACTGGTTTCTTTTGAGAGTTCTAGATGATCCCGCCGGTTTGGTCCAGCACATCAAGACGTAAGTCCAGTCGGGGTATTGAAACATTACATCCGATTGAAAATTACCTCCATACTCCTACTCATTCTTTTGCTAAGTGGTTTTATTGTTCAGTGAAACGAGCGGTATAATTTTACGAATAACCTATGGGTATGCGATAACACCAAACACACCCGACCCACTGGTTCGTCTGATTGAACACACGATGGATGTCTTTGCACTTGCAACTGTCCTTATGTCATGGGCAGTCGATATCTTACCGGCGCTCGAATATCTCCCAGAAGGACTTCCGGGGGCATCGTTCAAAAAGGTAGTCCGGGAATGGGCCGAGCAACTCCGGACGACGATCGAGGTTCCTTACAACTTTGTTCGCCAGCAGATGGCCAAAGGGACAAACCGACTATCCTTCGTCTCGTCTCTCGTCGAGCAACACCTCCAGAACGACGACGGCGTCGACAAAGCGGACAAGAAAATAGAGGACGCCATCAAGAAGACAGCCGTGGTGATGTACGGCGGCGGGGCCGATACATCTGCGTCGTCCATCCACAGTTTTGTCCTTGCCATGATGCTCTTCCCGGACGTTCAAAAGAGGGCGCAAGAGGAGATTGATACAATCATTGGCAGCGATAGGCTGCCTCAGCCTGCGGACCGCGATCGCTTGCCGTATGTCAGTGCTTTGGTGAAGGAGACCCTAAGGTGGTTTCCCGTCGCGCCGCTAGGCGTCGCTCACAGGACCGATGAAGATATTGATTACAGGGAGTTCCGTATTCCAAAGGGAGCATATCTGCTGCCGTCGATCTGGTGGTTCTTACATGATCCCCAGACGTATTCGGATCCGTCCTCCTTCAATCCCGATAGGTATCTGGCCCCTCACAATGAGCCAGACCCTGAAGACCATGTCTTTGGATACGGTCGGAGAGTCTGCCCCGGCAGGTACCTGGCGGATGAGAGCATCTTCATCACCATTGCACGTCTCTTGGCGACATTTGACATTAAGAAGGCAGTGGATGGGTCGGGCAACGAGATTGAGCCGGAGATCCACGGCACGAGCGGCTTGATTAGTCGCCTGCTAGATTTTCCGTACAGTATCACGCCGAGGAGTTCAAAGTCAGTACATCTTATACGATCTGTCGAAACGCAGCACCCGCGTCATGGTGACGATGCAGAACTTGTACGGGAGGTTTTGGCAAACCGATCGTGAATGTGACTGGATTCCGAAACGGGGCAATGGCTTACGAGGTACGGATTGGGATACGTCTTGACGGCTGGAGAAAGGTTATCTGGGTAGAAGTCATGGAATTGATAAATCTTGCTTCCCCTTCACCATAGTACGCGCGCCCCAGAACTACCTTGGAGTAAAGACAACGTTAAGCGGTGCAACTGTCAAAGTCCCTGTATCCTTGCTTCCATTGATAAACCGCTCTCTAGTCTGGCCCTTCGCGTATTCCAACATATATCTGTGCACTATCGTGCTTGTTACGAACCTGATTTCCAGGAGACTCAGCTGCTTGCCGATGCACACATCATGGCCTTGGAGCGTCAATGACACAATCGACGGTTTCCGAATAAGGTGAACCTACCAGTAGAAAAAGGGACGAATACACTCGGGTTTTTGACAAGCTCGGGTTGGTCTATCCACCGTTCTGGGATGAATTCGTCGGGTCTATCGAAGAACCTGACATCTGCGAGCATCTTTTGTCAGCACGTACTTCTTACAGAAGGTTGACAACAACTCGAAGCCTACCGCGAAACTGGGTGTAAGATGGAACAACAACAATCGTGTCTCCTGGAAGCCACACATCATCAATTTGTAACCCTTCTGGTGGCGTCATGCGTTGAACTCCCGAAGGCACCGGTGGATACAACCGAAGGGCCTCGTCGATGCAGGCTTGAAGGTAGCGCAACTTCGACAACGTCACATGCTCGGGCTTTTCATGATGTTGGAAATATTCGTCGACCTCCTCTTGGAGCTTCTTATACTCCCTTGGATGGCTTCCAAGCTCCATAAACAGACATGTCAGCGCGGCGGCAACAGTGTCGCTAAATAGTCAATGTCAGTATGTCAGCTCGAAGCCTTGGGATTCTCTGAAATATCCTGACCTTCCAGCGACTGAAATCAAACTGCAGTCCCCGTATAGATTCAACATGTCTTGAGACGAATGTTCCTTTTTATTCTCGTAGTCTTCCAACACCCATGTGAAGATATCTGGGCTCTCAGGCTTGTTCTGGATGCGCTGCTGTACCTGTTCCGTAATCCAAATCTTGAACTTCCTGACGCCCGCGTTGAAGATTCCCATCTTGCGATACAGCGGTAATGCCCACATGGCATGCGTGAACCTTCCCACGGCTTTTGTTTCTTCGTGTAGGGCGTCCACGTAGAAGTGCGCGACGCCGTCCTCAAGCATGCGGAAGCCGTGACCAAAAGAGAATTCACCCATGACATCGAAACTGTAGAAGTTAAACCATAGAGACACGTTGAACTTTGTGCCAGCACTGGCTTCAATGCCGGCTAGGAGTTGATTGATGTATTTGAGAACCCGGGGCTCGTAGTCACGCAGAGCTGTCACAAGTTTTAGCTTCAAGACATACGTATGCATGGAGCTGATGAGCCCTGACATTTGGAGGTGAATCCATATTCCCACACTTTTCGACGCTTCGAGTGCGCTTTCTTGTCTCGTACCATTTGCATAGAGACCATGGGATGCAGGAAGTTATAAAACGGTCCCTTCATACAATCTGTATCGAGGAAGACGGCATTGATAGCCCCCGGCTTATTAACAGAAAGTTCTGTGGGGCCAATTCGAACAACATCTCCATACTTCTCGTGAAGCTTTCGAACATCCTCGTGTAGATGCATTTTGTTCCAGATCCTGCAAGTTATGTAGAGGTTCGTAAACCTGGCCAAGAACGGCCCCGGGAATCGCCGTAGCCGATGAAAGAGACCTCGATATACAATCATACTTGAGTAAATGCCGGCTATGACCAGTGAGAATAAGACGCCTACGGCCCCAAAGGCTTCGGTCAGTTGTACCGTCTCTACCGGATATGATGTTATAGGCTCCAGTATCGGCAGGGCCATTGTCGTGCCGACGGTTGCAAGATATGCAAGAAACAATCTGTTAATGATGCGTTGCGCTGAGAGATCCCATTCGCCATATCGAAAAGCGCAAAGGTGAAGTAAGACGCCGATGAAGAACGACAGCCCACACGCTGTTGGGCTTCTAAGCAGGTTGCTAGCGTACATGGTTGTTCGCAACCAGTCTTCAGTTGATTGAGGTCGTTGAAGATCAAAATCGAGCAGCTGATGCCTTCCCTCATGTCACGCCGGATCAGCCAAAGCTGAAAGCTGATCTGCTTCCACTTTCAAGAGTAGTGTATCAATATAAATGGGCTAGCGCGACGTCCTGGCGACGGTACTTCCCCAGCCTGGCCGAAACTCGATGTCTCCGGTTAAGGAATCCAATACATTGTTATGACGGCATGATAGCAAACTTTAAAAAGAGTTACATTTAACTTTTTACGTAATAACACAGAGTTTTATATATACCCGGGCACCCGGGGATGTTAGTCTGGAAAGTTACGCTAAATACCCCGTACAAATGGGGCGGTGTTTAACTTTGCTAAAAGCCTAGCACCCCTGGTTAGATAAACATCAGTTAATACATACCAGTTACCAGTCGCCGCGGCGATGGGTATCGTTCCGAAGTTCGGGGGGGCTCTATGTTATGTTTCCGGACGTCCGGGCATAGAGGCCAAAACTCAGAGCACCGCTTCTCATTCCAGATGTAAAGTCATACAGTAAGTAGTGAACAGAGCAGCATTAGTAAGCTTTAGTAGAAATCGAACGTTTTATAGATATGCCACAGTCTTAAACAAAAACAAGGTCCATCCAGGATTCGAACCTGGGCCTACGGAAGGATATGATTGATAAGTCAGAATCCGACGTCCTAACCAACTAGACTAATAGACCAGAGACTATGATAGTTATGTGTGGCGGATCCAGGAAATCAATCGTTGATGTGGGACTAGGGGCTGCGTTAAGCCCTCATGTGGATACAAAATGCTGGCTTCTTAATAACTAGTCCACTTAGTCAATTCATTATGAATTATTACGGTATTCTCGCTGCTCTGTAAGATAGATGTAATATCCTAGGGCTAAAAAAATCCAGTTTTAGACGCTTTCGGCAGAGCCTGGTCAGCATCAGGTCCGCATCTCTTGAATTAAATCGCAAACGCTTCCCTTCCTGTTGGGACGTTAATGACATAATAAGTGTATGTAATCGTACAAGAGGTGAAAAAAAGCAAACACGTCATTCCTACCTGTTTATGTCGATGACTTGACGGTGCCTCTAAATTGTAACCAACTTTTCGCTCAGGCTTACAACAAACTGCCTCGCTCTTACGTCGTCAAACCCTCTCTCACTTACGATGTCCCTTTGAGCATTGGATAAAAGCTATAAATGAATAAAAACCAGATGTCCCAGTATACCAAACTACGGCATGCATCAGCTTCCTAATCTAAGTGATAGGTGCTTGTCACGCGGCGAGCTCCCTATCAGTGCCCTTGCTGGAATATCCCCCTACCAGCAAGCTTCTTCATCAGGTATGCACTTTCACGATAACATTTATCATTAACAATTTGGACGCGTTATGGGCTCTGGTGATATCAGCCACGATGAAAAGCCGGGGATTATCCGAGCTGGACCCTTGCAGATGATCGTGGGGCCAACCAAGAAAACGTCATTTCTTGTTTACGTGTAACGCCGATTGACTTACTTTCACTTCACCATTCTACTTTGGGTGCCCAAGACCCTAAAAGACACCGGCTCTTGTAGCCTTTCGATGACATCGTTGGGAACAATATGGTCGCTCAATCAAACGGCAAGACTTCGCCATGGATGTCCCTCACCGCTGGAGGCATTGCCGGCGGTGTCGAAATGGCGTGCACGTACCCCTTTGAATTCGCCAAGACGCGAGTGCAACTCTATGGACACCAGAAGGGGACGCGGAATCCATTCGCGATTGTCCTGCGCGTTGCTCGCGATGAGGGGTTGTCGGCTCTGTACAAGGGATGCAGCGCGATGATCGTGGGTTCTATCGGCAAGGACGCTGTCCGGTTCGTCGTGTTCGACAGCCTCCGCTCAGTGTTCGAAGACAAGGAAACACACACCATGAGCCCGATGCAGAGCATAGCTTCGGGAATGGTGGCCGGCGTCGCGGGCAGCACAGTCATCGTGACACCAAGCGAGCGAATTAAGACGGCGCTCATCGACGACGCCAAGACAACCAAGAGATTCAAAGGTCCGATACACTGCATCACGACACTCACTCGTGAGCAAGGCGTTCTCAAGGCTTTGTGGCGAGGTTACATCACGACGACTTTGAAGCAAATCGGTACCACCGGTTTCCGACTCGGCAGCTACAGCATTATGAAAGACTTTGAGCGAGCGCGAGGCGTTAGCCCCGACGGGCCGATCATGAGCTTCGCCAACGGCGCCCTTGCCGGGACCGTGACCACGATCGCGACGCAGCCGTTCGACACAATCAAGACGAAGGCGCAGCAGGCAAAGGCGGTCGGGACCATGGAATCATTCCGAACGATCATGGCTGAAGACGGTATCAAAGGTCTCTGGAGAGGCACCGTCATGCGCTTGGGCAGAACGGTGCTGTCTGGCGGCATCCTGTTTACGGCCAATGAAGAAGCTATGAAAGTTCTGAAGGTTCTCACAGGCAAATGATTTCACTCGATGAGATAGAGGGGCCTGTGGATGCACATTTAGACTCAGACAAGTTCACGACGGCAATGGAACTTTACTGATGCATGGACAGTCCATAGATAGTGAGTACTGTACCAAAGCCATCTAGACGAAGATAAACATAGACTTTGGACGAATTTCATTGTAATCACGTTGAAAGATAAGGGTGCAATCGGCGCTAAGAGAAGGACGCCGGCCTGGAAAGTTACATAGACTGATTGCTTAAATGGAATATAGCGGAAGATGCCTCCCTATTTTGTGCTAGTAGACGAAGCGTTGGTATTTAGTAGCCCTTGTTAACATTGCCCATAGAATCGAAATGGGGTACGGCCGGTAATTCTAATGTTGATGGACTTGAAAGGTTCCCATCGTTCGCCATGACACTCATTCCCCGTGAACACCTATGTCCCTCAGATGAGAAACCACCACTTTACCTTTACAGTGCCTCCTTGCCTTCTCCAAGCACGAGAGCCATCTCAACATGGAGTCCCCCCAGCCCCGCGAGTATTTGCCTTCCAAAGGAAACACGCCTGCCCAGTATCCACTCCATAAACACACATCGGCCTCAGAATCGCTGTCCCAATCAACAGATGGCTCCTCGATCTTGCCCTGTTCCGTAAATCTTCCTGTCAACAACCAGTCCAAGACATGTGGAAAATCCTTAGCAGCCGCAACTGCACTCGTCCATCCCCCGTTCTTGGTCTTATAATGTATTCTGGCACCTGCATAAACGAGCAACTTGACGATTTCTATCCGTCCCAGGTTCGCTGCAGCCATGAGCGCCGTTCCATCCTCAGAGCCCTCGATTTCGATGTCACATCCCGCATGTAACAGGAATTTGACTTCGTCTACAAGTCCGTAGTGAGCAGAAAAGCACAGGATATTGAATGGTTTACCATCTGCCTCAATCTCGAATATCTGACGCATGAAATCGCGGCCTAGTCGGCGGTACATCAGCCGCAACTGCTTGCGCATCGAGCTGGCATCGTCAATATCGTAGAAATACCATAGAATCTTCCAAAGCACTCTCCCTGGTTCAAATGTATGAAGAAGAACACACTGATCCGAGTTGAGGATGTAGGTCGCAAGTTGAATTTTGAATAACATGGGTGCCCAGAGAGGTATTCCAAAACTCCCGATTTGATTGAGATTGATGCCAGCCTTTTGCAGCGACACGGCCATATTGACTGAGACGCATATGAGGCCGGGATCTGACTCGAGAATGCGGCTGACGCTGGCACCCTTATCGAGGAAGAACTGGACCATTCCGGGACTGGAATCATAGATTGCGAGCTCGATGGCTGTGCGACCGTGACTGTCTCGGATGTGAAGAGAGGCCCCATGATCAGTGAGAAGCTTGACCATTTCCAAGTCATCCGCTTGGACTGCGGTATGTAACGGGGTTCGTTGAGCCTGGTTTTGACGGTTGACATCGGCCCCGTACTGCAGAAGGAGTCTCGCAATATCCGCTTGCCCCTCTTCCACGGCATCGTGCAACGGCGAGTGCTCGAGATACCGGCCCGGGCGAGTCGGGACCTCGTTGACAAGCTCTCTAACCAGGTTGCGCCCCCCGACAGTGCCGAGTTCCGAAATGTAGGATAGCAATATTTCGAGAACTTTGTAGTGGTTCCTGTCGATGGCAACCTGGACGGCGATAGAGTTGTCCAAAAGCCACACCATGTCTTTGCGAGGAATCAGACGGAGCCACGCCGCGATCTTGTTTAGATGTCCGGTCTCACACATCAGGTAGTCAAGACATGTCGACCCCCTCATCGGCCACCGATGCATCGCGTCTTCATCGCTGTCGGACGTTGAAGAATCGGAGGACAGGTCAGTGCTGCCGCTGTCAAAGTAACGGACACGCGAACATATGTTTAGTCCATTCCGCGCGCAGGAGGCGACTCGGAAACTTGCCCCTCTCGCGATGAGAGTATCAATGATTTTAGTCGAGATTTTCTCACGGGAGAAGGCGAAGACGAGCGCGGTACAAGTGTGGCAGGATCTTGTCTTTATGTCAGGTGGGCACCCGTCGTTGAGAAGCCTTTCGCAGAGTCGGTGATCGTGATTCTCAATCGCATCTTCCATTGCTTTTGACATTGACGCCATTAGATGTCTTTGAACCCGTTCAGTCTCATTCGCTGTCGAATCCGTGGGAACTTTTCGAAGACTGGATTTGACTACCTCTACGAGTCTTTTGTTATTTTTCTTCATTGCGATATCCAGCGGTGTTTCTCCGTTATTAGTCTTCAAGTGATTTGCACCTAGCTCGAGGAGAAGCGATGCAGTCGGTTCGTTCTGGTGCAGAATAGATATATGCAATGGCGTCAGACCTGCGGAAGTTTGAGCATTGATGTTGCAGCCCCGAGAAACCAGGGTTTTGATAGTATCCATCAACCCAAAGAAAGTTGCGAGGTGCAGAGGAGTGTACAGATCTGCCGCGACGATGTCAAGATTGGTGGCAAACCCACGATCAAGTAAGAATGTGACTGTCTCCGGCGATGCAATTGCCGCGAGATGCAGAGCGCTGATACTGTTGAACGTTTGGGCCATGACGTTCCAAGTTGCAAACGTTACCTGCACTTGAAAGTCCCAAATGGGCTCTGGACAACACGCAGCGGCCATGTCCTCGAGCAAATCGACGTATCCGTGGGCACATGCCCATGATACCGGCGTCCAGCCGTTCACGTCCGGAACATGCAAGGTCTGGTGTGCGCCGTGACGAAGAATCAACTTTGCTGTGTCGACATTGCCGGCGCTTATATGCGTGCTCAGGGGCGAGAAGTGACTTTTGCTGCTGAGAACCTGACAGTCAACTTGTTCCCGCAGCAAACGCTGGCACAAGTTGAACTTATTGTTCTCTAGCGGTCGTCTGGCCTGTGCGAATCCCGTGGTGCCGATTCTGGAGTATCCCAGGTGCGGTGGCGGTGGAGGCGGAGGGGGTATGTTATGGAAAGCGGTTGTAGAGCGGAAAGTCGGGCAGCCGAACAAGTTGATACCGCGACCGTCTGGTATCCCGAGTCGATGAAGCAGGCCCAAGCCCTCTCCAGAAGGCGTCAACTGGTTGAGATCAGTCTTGTCGACTTTCTCGAGCATCTTGACCAGCATCCTATACCCGTTGGGACCACTGCCGTTGGAACATAGGAACTCCAGCGCGTGAAGTGAGTGCTTTCTCTTGCAGACATCAGCACCCCCTTGAAGAAGACGGTCAAAGAGA